TTTTCTTAGATGCTTGTCGAGAATTCTTCTTTTGCTGAGAACCCGGACAGCCACGTGTGTGCGAACCCCCCAGAGCCTACTTCGTCAGTTTTTGTAATCAGCTTGTTGCGTTCATGTGTTACAGACACTTTGGCTCAGAATGCACAAAGACTCGCATTTAACTAAAAATCAGTTTACTGTTCTCGAGCGACCTTTGCTTTTCTAGTAGACCATCTACGTTGCCCGATGAAAACCCTGCCTATAAAGAACATAAAAATGCGTTTATTCGACCTTCGTGCGATTTCCCACCATATTTTTATCCACTTGAAAGTTGGATCATTCGCTATGAAGTATTGACAAGGCAACACCATTATTTTACAGTATACATTTACTGCGTCTGAGAGTATAATTTTGAAAAATGAGTACTTTTTAAGGATCGATAATATCCAGCGCATAGTAAAAATCGACCAATCCGTGGACTGATAATGATGGTGATATGGTGAGACACAGCGGGATAAGCAAGTATCCAGAAGGTAGATATTATGAGGTGTGCCGACTGAACCATACAGATACAGGTATATATCACGAGGTTGTAATGGATACTTCACACTGCGGATAGAGAATAAATTGAACGAAGTGGAATAGAAAATATAAATGGTTTTCACAGTTTCGGTGGTGATAAAATGTACCGATTTGGAAGCGTTCTGAAGGAGATTTGGGAATCTAAATGATTGACTGCACGTGTTATCAGACATACGCAGATTGCTTTCGACCGCGTTGAGCTCGTGTTTCAAATGGATGGCAATGCATTTTTGAGATATCCCTTCTTTTAACAAGATAACTGTTGATATGAGTCCTAAAGACCATGGGTAGACGTTATTATCACATGTGGGTTCAGTCACCCATGTATCGTGTCATGGGAAGAATACTTTGTCAGTTGTGTGTTGTTTGTCCCCGATTTATTTTAGTGGCATGTTTTGAAGTGAATTCTTAAGGTTTATTCAAGAGTGATTTTACAACTGTCAGGCTGCAAGTGGCGAACCAACAGGATTCACCTACCCTGCAGTCCAAACAAATGTCACAATTCCGTTACGAAAGATTTGTCTGCATGTCTGAATGTATGTAATTTCTGCGGGAATAAACAAACCAAGACGAGTGACCGATTTTACATGAATGGCTTTGCATCGCTTTCTTCCGTGTCATTGGTTATTAGGCCCCACATTTTAGCCCAAATAGTGGACAATTTGGTGCACGGGACAGTGGCCTTTCAGAAACCAGGTGACCAGATTATAACGTCACCGATTCATCCAAGTCACCTAATAAATTAGGCAACCAGCTTTGCTCCGTGAACAGGGCAGTAGTTTCTCGTTGTATTTTTACGACATTCAGCTGAGCAGCTAGCTCTTTTTGATATCTTTCAGGTTGATTGATCACATTGATTGATCACATTTCCTGAAACCATACGTTAGATCATACAAACAAGTTACATTGCTCGTCACAACCATAGGCAAATGCAAGCTGCAGAAAATGAAACATTTTCCGAACTAGACTTCTGTCGTAAATCGTGAGACTCACTTGGATTGTTCTAGAATTTCTAACCAGACGTGTGACTTCGAGAGCAGCTGATTTATGTCGGATCTCCTTGTCTGAAAGACTATTTAGTAGCCAGCAGATGAGCCCCAGTGAATAAGGTGAGAATCCACGCTTGACAAACTTACGTAACCATCTCGTACAGGTGTCTTTCAGCTGACTTCCGAGCTCCATCTGGAGATGATTTCCACCCAAAAACATGGACGTCAAGTACGTCGAACACTTTAAGCACCGGAAATGGACAGGTGGCTATGTGCACGGTACACTTGTCGATGCCAACACTTCTCAACTTTTTGAAATGTGCTTTTTGCGAAATAATGAACTTCCATTATTCCGGCTTGCAAAACCACATTGATTATTACCTGTTAGCTCCATGTTATTGGCCTGAAGTCCATTCCTACACATAGGTTTGATTTCTCTCTCTCTCGTTAGAAAATTACTGCTTGATCGTTACTTACTCTCCGGGAGGGATTGAGCGCAATTTGTGCCTTGCGGTATGTTATGAAAAAGATATCTTTATGTTGAAAGCGCCCTCGCAAATGA